TTAAAAAAGAATTTTTTTCAGAATACATGAAAACAAAATAAGGAACCCCCCCACCCACATATTTTATATATATTTTTTTCCTGTGCAGATGCACTGATGTATTTGGAGTAGGAAATTCTGACTTCCATGTGTCATTCATCACAGTGTAGATAAAACATGATGGGAGCATTTACAATTGCAAAAAAAATTGATATTTATCTAAATTAGTCCCTGAAGTTAGAAATGAATTATTTTCTTGCTTCCTGATCACTGTGCTTGTCCATATCTTTATAGGAATATTGAAAATATGTTACTTTTGGCTACTCATTTGATTTTCACCCTAGAAGGTTTCCTTTTGTTTTTAAAATTTGCCCATGGCAATTTAGTTTCATACAGGAATATCTTCCAGGAAGAATAGACCCTTACTGCCTTGACATCCAACTGGGTCTTGGTTCCACTACTTTACAAATGTGGGCAGGTTGCTTCATCTTATCTGAGGTGGAAAACCAGAAGTAATGGCTGGCCTACTAAAGTGAAATTATCCCCAGAAAAACACTGCGGAGACTTAGAATTGCTAGGTATTCTTTTAAAGGGCAACATTCTAAAACAAGAGGAGAGCAAAGAAGACATTACATTTGAGTACCCACCAAATGCTGTAGCTTTTTCAGGTACTTTACATACTGTTTATCTTAGCTCTTTTAATCTCTTTATTAGTTGTTGTGATCTCCATTCTACCAATGACAGACTGTGGTTCGTGGTTGTAAACTGTGACATCTCTAATGAAAAAAACTGGGTTTGAATGCAACTAATTCCAAAGCTTATATCCTTTCCACTACTGTGAACTGTCAAATATTTTATAAACTGACTGCTACAAGGTAGATTTCTGTTATCTCCAGTGAGCTAAAATGCAGTTCGAAAGTTAAGTTGTGAGAAGCTTTTGGAGAGCCACTCTACAAGCTTATAAAGGGATTGGAAATGTGTGCCTTCTACCACTGATACCCACAGACTTCTAGCCCACAGGGAATTTGGAGATTAGTGCATCCAGAAGTTTTCTTATTTATTAAATGACAGTACTTTAAGAAATGATATCTGCAATCTTGCCAAGCTCCAGAATTTTGATGGTAAGAAGAAAATAACACATATATAAACACAATGCCTCTCCCTTCCCCTCCCCTCATTCATTTCCCCTCCCTTCCTTCCTCAAATACATAGTGAACATTTCTTCTAAGCTAGGCTCTAATACCAAGTACTGTACTGTTTTCAAATTCAAGAGCAGTATTTGCTTTTCTTTTATTTTTCTTTATTTTTTATTTTTTTGCAGTACTGGGGATTGAACCCAGGGGTACTTTACCACTGATATATATTTCCTGACCTTTTGATTTTTCATTTTGAGATGGGATTTTGCTAAGTTGCCGAGGCTAGCCTGAAATTTCTGATCCTCCTACCTCAGCTTTCTGAGTCACTGGAATTACAGGTGTGCACTACTGTGCACGGCTTGAATTTCCTCTTTTAATTACCTTTTTAAAAAAAAATTTGTCATTTTTTAAATCTTTATTTTTTTTTTATGTGGTACTGAGGATCGAACCTAGTGCCTCACACATGCAAGGCAAGCACTCTACCACTGAGCTACAACCCCAGCCCTTAATTACCATGTTTTGAAAATATAAGAGCCTAGAGCATCAGAACTTCTTAGAGAAAGAAATACATTTCCCATTGTACAAATTCCTATTCAACATTAAATATAAAATGAAGTATATATTTCTATATATAAACTTTAACAAAGAAATGAAAATATAAATAAAGAAAATCAAGGAGGAAGAAGCACTTTTAATGATAGATGGTTGTGAATACTAGCATAATAGTGCTGATAAAAACAATTTTTCTTTTTTCCAAGTGGAGAATCCCTACTGTCGCTCCCCTTGTCTATATGAGCAGGAAGTACTTGGAACTAGTTGTGACTCACTTATACAAGCTTTTGGAGTATAGAACCAAACTATTCCAGCAAGGAAAACCAAATAGCTACTTCTACAGTATTGTGTATGTTGACATATTAAAACAAGTCCCCTGAACGTTTTGTTTGTCTTGTTTGAAAAGCAATATCCTGGAGAGCATTAAACACAAGAAAACAATGTTAAAGCCAGTACTTTCCAACATGTAAAACTCCTGAATCTGTGCAGGTTTACAACTTAAAATCCTAACTCATTTTGCAGCCTTTGTGGAGTTTGATTAGAATCATTAAATAATGTGGGTTTTAAAGAACAATGAGAACCTCCCAGATTGAGGGCACACAGCACAGCTAATGTGTTTCTTCTAGATGTAGTCTCAGAAGAGGGTTTCAGTTTACATATAACACTGGCCTGTGTGGCCAGGGAGCAAGTTTGCTTTTAACAAGTCCAAGTGATAATCATGATATTTTGCCTTTTAGTTAATGGTATGAATTTTATTTCTCAATAGGCTTTTTGTAAATGAGATGCTCAATTAAAAGTCATCTTATTTGCAAGGACTTTCTCTCTCTTTGAGAGATTTGTTTTCTCTGACTTGGCAATGCAGTGAAACCCTTTTAGGAGAAAAACTCTCTCTTCTCTTCAGGAGATTTCAGATATACCGGGATCACATCATGGCCCCTGAAACATAAAAACGACACAGAAAAGCCTAGTAGAGCACCGTTAACTTTAAGGTCAATAGCCATCCCTCCCTACCCCAACCCCACTCACTACCCATTTCCATTAAACAGGATTTCTATCTTCTATGCTTGTGTAATTTACTACTGGGTAAATTGCAATCTTATAGTTGCTTCCAAAGATTAAATCAAATGCTGCTTCTGTACCAGGGAATTTGGCACTCCTATGACTCTCTATGTACTAAAGGGTTTCTTAAAAGCTTTCTGCTAAAGGGGACAGGTGGGTGTAATGGAATATTTGTATTGACTTAATCTTCTGTATACCAGATAAACTTGAAAGAAAAAGTCTTCCCTTTAAGGGTTCCATCTTGTTAGGAATGAAAGCACATTCATGAGTACCTTGTTTATGGTGGGCACTTCCAGGTACCTCCATTTCTCCTCATGGGAGACAACATCACCATTTTACAGGTGAATTCAAATTAAGGTTTTCAGGGACCTGTCCAAAGACATAAAGGGAATGTGGCAGAGAAGGGATTTAAATCTAAGCTTACCAAAGTATGGTCTGTGTCTCAGGACATCTTCCTTCTCCATAAGACACCACCCTGAAAGGCAGTGTGATTCACTGGGTACTCCTGGCTTGCACTGAATTCAATCCATGCAATGCCGGGGTCCCCAACAATAATGATTCCTTTGTGGAGCCATTCAGAAGTAATAAACAATTCAGAGCCCAAATTAGACAGATAGAGCTCCTAAAAGCCACCAGATTTCCTTTTGTTCTGAAAAATGAGCTGAATCAATGACAATTTTAGTTTCCAAAATATTTTCTCTAATAGCAGATCCTGTGTACTAAGGGGAGGTGGCATTGTTAAGAGGGTAGGAGCACCATCTTTGGAGTCAAGTAGAATAGGTATGCCACTTAACAACTTCCTATATGACCTTGAGCAAGTTACTAAGACTTAATTTCTTGCCTTCATAGAAGGCTGCTGTGAGGGTTAAAGTAACTATGTGACTGATTTAGTCAATGCCTGGAGTAACTTAAATACTCCAAAAATGTGAGGTAACATTACAGTCACATGGAGTTTGGGTCAATCAATGGACCTGCTGAATAGTAATGCCAACTATCTATCTATCTATCTGTCTGTCTATCAATGTATCAACTATTAACCATCTATTTTTATTAGGCAAATTGAAGAGAGAAAGAGGTAAGTTTGATTTGGCAGTAGACAGTCAGAATATCTCATTTTAGTATAACAGTACCAAGTATCCGCTGACTTCTCAGCTAGATAGCAAAAGTAAAATGGAAAACAAGTTATCCTGGTTCAGATTGTCTGTATTTTTATGTGGAGTTAGCCTTAGGATGATTCTTATACAGCAAGCAACATGTACTAAGTTTTCTTTACCCTGAAAAGTATAAACACATGTTTTTGTAGATGTGATGTGCTGTGTATGTGTGTATTATCTTAGTGTGCTTGGGAATTAGAGTAGAGGATGACAAAAATGAAAAGGCTAATTACTTTTTAAATAATGTTAAAATTTGCATCAAAACAGTGAAAATAAAAAAGAGAAAAAAGAAAACCAACAAGCAATACTAGAAAAGATCTGTGAAGAAAGGCAATGAAACAAACTCTGAAGATACTTGGAAATAATATTCATGTCAGCTTCGAGTGTGGAATTATTAATAATGTATATTTTAAGTTATTTTGGAATGTATATGTTTAATTGTTATTTTTAGTCATTCATCCTAAGTTTCCATCTTAGGGGCAAATATGGATGATCTCTACCAGCTTCTAACCTCCCCCCTCTGCTTTAGGTGAACTGATTGACAGGTGATTATTTTGGGCCAGAAACAGGAAATCAACCCGATAGAAGTGGGCAGATGTTTATTATTTTGAACTAGAATGCTTATGTCTTCTTTTTTACATTTAGACTTGCTTTGCACTAGCAGCATAGATACAAGTGCTTTGTAAATTTAAATCAATATGTCAGTAGAAATTTTCATAACTTTAGTTGTTACATGGAAAGCAAATCTTGACCATTTAAGGAATGTTCATTTCTAAAATACTAATTCATGTAATTATGGAATGTGGGAATATTTCACTTTTTTTGAACAGAAATAAAAGCAATATAGATTTTACAAAAGGATTTTTATGCATTTCAGAAGAGATCACTCCAGAGAAGTTTTTAATGGTAAGGATTTGCATAGATACCTTTTTGCATCATGCAGGGAAGGAGAATGTACTGAAAAATATAAAAGATGAACCTTAAAGGAAAAAGGTTGTTAAAACACTCTCAATACCTCATCTGCAATCCAGAACATTTTTCTTTGAAATGTGTCTATTCATGGAGTACTTACAAATAATGTCAGGTAGGAAATTACATAACTTCCTTTTTCATTTTGCAGAAAGCAGAAGCCACTGGAGAAAAACGGCCAAGAGGCAGACCCAGGAAATGGGTGAGTGATAAGATGTATTTTCTGTTTGTTTATTGTAAAGAAAAAAAAATTTTTTAAATGAATATATTAGTTGTATTTCAAGGATTACATGTATTTTTTAATTCCTGGTGTGTTACATCTTTGAAAGGGTTAAGGCAAGGACAGATTATCACTGCTTATGATTAGGCTCCAGGGTTTTACTCCAAACACTTTCCTTTCCTGAAGTGGACTCCTTTTTCTATGTCTTATCAACATCAAAGGAATTTCCATTCTTCCTTCACATAGAGTAACAATGGGAAGACTTGTTCAGTGGGTTGAGTAACTAGGGTTGAAGGTATTACGAAACCTTGGGAGTTGATTACAATGGTGATAAAATTCAGATGAAATGTGTATGAGATAATTTTAATATTTTATTTTCTTGATTTTATGCTTTGTTTTGGACATATATCATTTTCTAGGTGGTCTGTGTTTTCTTTTTCATAATGTCTCTGTTAGAAAACAAGGGCCGAATTTCCGTTTTTTTGTTTGTTTGTTTTATGTTTTTGTTTGTTTGTTTGTTTGTTTACTTCCCTTAGTAGGCATTGTCTACATACTGACCTTAAAGACAGTGGCATCCATGCAAGCTTGCTGGACCCCACAGGCACATACAGGCTGTGAATTTTGAGGCCAGAAAATTAGTGGTTGCTCATTTTACCATTTGAACCTTGTTCTCACATTACCCAGGGACTTCTGGTCTGTCTTGCCCACTGATAGAAGGAACAAGTCCTAACATTAACCCAAACCATTTCTCAGGAGCGTGAAGGCAGCCTCTGTACCCAGTATTTTCTGTAATGGGATCCTTGTCTTTCCTCTTCTCTTTCCCTAGTTTATTCTCCATGTTCTACTTTTTTTTTTAAGTTTCCTACTATCCTGGATTATGTTTTCCTGTTATTTTGCCATTCCCTTCTACTCTTGAGTTCTGCATCACTTTCTATTTACACTTTGGTATTGCCTTTCATTTAATTGATTCATCTTGGGTTTTTTTTTTTTTTTTTCCTGTTCCACATGTGTTGGGATTAGATTTCTTAGCACAAGGAAAGGGGGATGATCTTTAGATTAAAAACATCTCAGTGTTACAGTGTAACCTTAATGTAAGTGCTTTTCATTCAGCCTGCTGTTCATACATGAATTTTCTCCAAAACTAACTACCATGTGGTGATCATCCAGTTCATGCCCTATCACCTCTAATGTCAGAGAATTCACTGTCTCTCAAGGCTGTCCCTTCCTTCCCGGAAAGTCTTATTAGAGTCTAAATTAGAGTCTTCCATTTGACTCCCTGTGACTTCTGCACACTGCCTCCAGGTCTCCTCAATGAAAATATGCGGAGCAATTGTTTTCACTTTCCCTGATGCTAGCTCTCCAAAAACTTGTTCTCTTTTTTTGATTTAAGTATCTCCAATTCTTTCATTATTTTTCTCCATAAAGGAACATTCTTGTTATTCTTTTTTTCAAGTACTTTGTTTTTTAATCTTTTGAAATATATCACCAGAACTAAGTATCACATTGCAAGTGTGGATTCTGTAACCAGTGGGTTGGTTTATCATCTCTCTTGCTGTACATGTGGTTCCAGTTACCTGTTACTGCTTAATAAACTGCTCCAAAACAATAGTGTCAAGAAGCAACTATTCTCTTATGCTCCTGGATTCTTTTGGTTAAGAATATGGACAGGGAACAGCAGAAAGTCTTGTCCCTGCTCCAGAATGTCTGGGGCCTCAGCTGGGAGGACCTAAGCATCAGGAGACGACTCCAATACTTTTGGATCTGGAATTTGGAGACTTCTTCATTTATAGGTGTGGTGCTTTTGATTGACCAGAAGTCTGGGCATGTCTAGGAGTAGAACATGCATACATGGACTCTCCAGCTAGGCAGTCTCAGGGAAGTCAGTCTTCTTATCTGTATGCAGAGTTCCTAGAAAAAGTGTTCTGGTAACCAAGAAGAAATTACAAGGCCTTTTGTGACATCATCTCGGAAGTCAAAAAGTACTATTTCTATTATATTCTAGTGAGTGTACTGTTCATTAAGTTGTTAGTGGAAAACATAAAACATAGGTCTGCTCTTTTCTAAGCATCAGAACTCTGAAAAGATGTCCTATGCTACTGAACTGATGACTTTGAAAGACTTGTTCCAAGAGGCAACATGATAGACAATAGATGAGCTCTTTGAAGTCACAGGATTAACATGTCTAAACTAAACTAAAATAAAAGTTAGCATGGATCTGGGAATGTGTGTGGCTCAGTGGTACAGGGTTTACCTAGCATGTGGGAGGTTCAATCCTCAACAACACACACATACACACACACACACACAAATGCCCATGCACAACACATACACAAAAGGAAGTTGACCAGGCAAATACCTCACAATCCAGTGGGGCCTCTTAACTCTGCATTTCATTTCTTCTGCCTTTGGGATATTCCATAATATTCTCCAATTAACCTGCAAAGTTTGAAATCACAAAAAGTGCTCTTCTCTGCAGTCTTCCATGGCTCCACAACTGACGAGTGAATGAATTACAACCTGCCCTAGAACCTCACAGTCCTCTAGCTTACACCTAATTATCTTTATGCCTTTGTTTCCCATCACTCATCCTCACCCAGCTAATGTTTCTGCCAAGCCAGAGTAAAGCATACAGCAAGATTAAAGGGTCTCTATATTTTTTTCTTAGTGAGGTTCTTGCTTATCTGAGAAGAACCTGGATTTCAGGCATCTGATCTTCATGCTGGTAAGAAGCCCAGAGGAAATGTCCACCATAGACACCCTTGTCTTTCTGGGAAGAGCCGGGCATCCTCATTGATCATCCTGGTTTCCAATATTTGCTGGCTGTGAGAATGGAAAATTTTGTGTGATGAGTTGTTACAAGTCCCTGATTTGGTCCCCCCAAGAAGAGCTGTTCTACTTAGAAGGGGAAATAAAAGGAAATTGTGTATTTTTTCTATACAACGTGTTTCCTCTTTGCTTGTATATCTTCTGTTGGTGACTGGGGAACCAGTCACAGCCAGGCATTCCGTTCAGTGGCATTCTTTGCTGGAAAGCTTGCGCTGAAGAAATAAATCATTGCAATTTCCATAGGAAACAGGCTTGTACTTTATAGTAAGTTCAATTCTTTCCAACAGTGTCATTCACTGATTTCCTTGAGTTGGAGATATATTTTTGAACTGACTGGATTTACTAGGTATATGGTTTAGAAGCCAGATGGTTCCCCTTTTATTCTTGTGGATTGTGTTGTTTTAAAGTACTTTTGCTTTTAAAACCACATCCTATAACTCTCAGAGATTCATGTAACGGGTCTGGAAAAAAGTATCTGCACTGTTACCCTCATCTGATATAATTAGGATTGGTAGCTGGGAGTTTAATCAAAAGCTGAGTAACTAGAAATATGTAGGTATAGGAGAGAAACTGCCATCAGTCTTGCTTCTGGAGGGGCTGGAAAATTGGCTAATCCAGTGATCCAGGAAGCTGGTTAACTAGATTTGGTTAAGCACACTTCTTCTGTTTACTTCCTTATATCTCCTTAACCCCAGCAGAATTTGATTTCAGACCTTGATATCGGATATAGACTAATTTTTTTTAAATATATAGTTAGGAGCTCAGGATCTGACTTTAGATGGCTTAGGTTTAAATTCTGACCTATCAGTTGGCTAACTGTGTAATCTTGAGCAAATTACATGACCTTTTAAAAGGTCCGGTTTCCTCATCTGCAAAAGGTACATGTCTCATACAATTCTTGTAAGGATTAAATTCTTGTGAGAGGGTGCAGGCAAAAGTCTTAGTGCTCAATAAATGATAGAAATTATGATTAATTCCCCTGTACACTTTCATGTTGATATTAGTTGTTGCCTGAGCTCTCCTTACTTACAGCCACCAGTAGTTCCACATACAGTGAAATGACATGTAAAACTAACCAAGTTTCCTTTATAGTATTATTATGCCTTCCATGTATCTATGCTGAATATTAACAAGTTTAAGATTGCTTACAAACGATATTAAAGCACATTTTAAGTCTGTTTGCATAGGGGAAATTTGTGTGTTACAGTTTATATGCTTTTCTTCTAATAGTGAAGGATTTGGGGCATATCTTGTTTAATTTGAAAAGTAGTATTTCTACTGTTTGCCTCATTATGTACAAATAGAGATGTGCTGGTTCTCTGTAGAACCTCTGTGGGATTCCATTAGCCAGTCTTGCTGCCAACTGCATTTATGTAATATTTGCATTTCTCCATTTTTGCCTGGAAAAGGAAGCTCATCACATGGCTAGTGTAGTGATGGAAAATATTTGGAGAAAGTTTTAGAGTGGAACTGAGACCCAAGGATACAATGAGATAATAAAGATGTTAACTTCATCCATGCAATGCTCTATCCAGATGTCAGTGAAGCAACTAAAGCTGGAAGAAAGAAAAAAAAAAAAAAAAAGCAAGAACCAGATAATGAAGAATACATCAGTGAGAATAGTCAGCACTTTAGGTGTTGTTTTGTTTTCAGAATATTTTTGTAAGAAAGGAAATTAACAACAGAAGGAGAATAGTCTCAAATATGAATTAATATATTTTAAAAGAAAAATAAAAGTTATTCTGGAAATTCTGAGATTGACCTAGAAATTGACCCAAGGATCAATTAACTTCAATTGATCACTAGGAAGTTAGTAAGAATTCCAGATGTTTTCTTGTGCTGCTGCTTATCTTTATTTGGTAATGGGGTGTGTGCAGTACGTTTAGTTTAAAATATGCCTTTCCATCCCACCTCTTTTTTTGTGGGGGTTGGAGCACAGTGGTCTTTCTTTTATTAAAAAATACTTGTGGATACAGAGCAAGGTATGTAATTTCATTTGCTAGTTAAACATCTAAGGTCTCTAGATAGGTAACAAGGGCTTCTGTGTTTCTAACTTAGAATATAGAAATCTCTATGATGAACTGAGTATCAAGAAGGAGGAGCTAAATCAGAATAAAATCTATTATAACCAGAATGATTAAAACTGTGATTTTCTT